ACAAGCTCGCGCATCCCTATTAAATGCAAACACCTACGTCAGCATAAACTGATAGACTTCGCATTCTAGTGAATATGTTTCTTGGATCATTTGGAATTTATCTCAAACGATTGAATGATAAATCTTGAAAGAATTTTAATTAATTCGTCTAAAAAAAAATAACATTTATTTAATTCAGGTTAAGTTACTGGTGTAACTACGTTATAAAAATGTTAAAAAAAATTTATGACAGAGGCAGTTTTCTGCGCACAAACCTCGTAATTAAATTCATTTAATTAACGTATTGGAACGTTTCAGAGAAATCCGATTTTTTTACTGTAGGTATTGTAATTTTACGTTACGTGCGCTGCAATGTATTTGCTTAAATTATCTCTTAGCGTTTATAAAATACGTATTTTACGCGATATTAACCAAATAAAAAAAGAATAACAAGATTAACAAAATTAAGAAAAAAAAGAATACAAAGATTAACAATATGAAGTAGTCAATTGATGCGCGTTTTGATGATACTTTCTTTAGATTACTTGTTATTGATTTTTTTTTATAATTAATTCACTGTTATGTATATGCCAGGTAATATTATCAACTTCGATAAAATCGAAGAATATAATTAAAGATAAAATTGTTAATATTGTTAAAATTGCAGAAAGCAATTTTTTAAGTGAGAAACAGTGAATATTTACATTACTGAAGATTAATTTGTTAACATTTTAATTTATAACCACATTCTGCTAAAACAATTATTAATGACTAAATATTGAAATAATCGTTGTTTCCATTAGTCCGAACAATAAAATAAATAGTGATCTTAAACAGAATTGTGTGATTACATTTTCATATAAAATATTTTATATAAAATGATACATTTATGCTATTTATGAGACATATTATGCGAAAATTAACTAAATTAAAAAATTAACTAAATTAACAAAATTTAACTAAAGTTGGTAATTATTTAGTAATACGGACTACCCTCCGATGACCTTGACCTTGACATATGTTGTCCTCCTGAGTGACCTTCAGAAGTTTTTAGCCGGCGCGGCGGTCGTTATTCGTTAAAAAGTTATTAACAAAAAAAGTTTCGAAAATATAGCAGCTATTTTGAGTATTGAGAGGCATAAACGACTATAATATTACTTTTTTTTTTAAGCAGAGAATACTTTATTTTGCGAGAAAGTCGCTGCTTTACCAAAACACAACATTTAAAGCAGTAAATTGTTAATAAATTGAAGTCTTTGTTAAAGCAGAGAATACTTTATTTTGCGAGAAATCGCTGCTTTACCAAAAAAAGAAATTACAGGACAAAATAATAGTATACATATATTATAATAATTATTACTTTATTAATAACTTTTACGCGGTTCAAAATTTAAATCCAACATTTCTTTGAAATAGACACTGTAGCTGTAAACTCGACTACGTCGATTTCGCCCAAATTCCTACAAATTTATGAAAAATATTTAATAAATATACATATTTAATATAGTGATCAAAAAATAAAAGTATTATCTCGTGATTTAAATAACGAAACCTATCTTTGACATTTTGTTTTCGCTCACTTGTGTACGCTTCTTTTAAAGTGGCGGAATTTATGTTTAAAAAAGCATCGATTTTCATGAACGATTAGATGCTTTTTTCGAAATAATGTCTATTATGTATCCTTTAACAGAAAATATAAATAAATAAATATTAAAGTAATTATTATCATTTTATCCCGTAATTTCTTTTTTTGGTAAAGCAGCGATTTCTCACGAAATAAAGTATTCTCTGCTTTAACAAAGACTTCAATTTATCAACAATTTACTGCTTTAAAAGTTATGTTTTGGTAAAGCACCGACTTTCTCGCGAAATAAAGTATTCTCTGCTTTAAAAAAAAACACGTAATATTATAGTCGTTTATGCCTCTCAATACTCAAAATAGCTGCTATATTTTCGAAACTTTTTTTGTTAATAACTTTTTAACGAATAACGACCACCGGCTAAAAACTTCTGGTCACTCAGGAGGACAACATATGTCAAGGTCAAGGTCATCGGAGGGTGGTCCGTATTACTAAATAATTACCCTAAAATTATATTTTTGATAAAAATTCAATTTTTTTATTAAAAAAAATTAAATTTTTAATTAAAAAATATATGAAAGGTACAGGGAGAGAGAAAAACGATCAATGTCCGTCCGGAGTAATTTCAAGGAAAACGCAATTTTAAGTTTTAAGACATCAAATATTTTAGGAAGTTATTGAAAAAATTAGTACAAAATTTAGTGAATATCGGAACGCAGCCTTTGTGTTTACTTATTGTTAGTGTTATGTTGGACTCTAATAGTTCTTCCTCACAAGTGCATGAATTATGATCGTTTTTTTTCCCACATGGTACATTTTTCGGCATTATTTCCAATAAATTGTAACTGTTCTTGATCAAAACAAATAAGAATTATGAAGATTCTTTTGAAAATTGAAAATGCCACAAAAAAGCATGATCAATTTCGACAAAAAGTGAACTTTGATCGTTTTTCTCCTGTATCCTTTATATATATTCTAGATTTGTAGATTTATATACTATATAGTTCCATACATATTCATTTAAACAAAATTAATATTTCTTTTTCGAGCAGCATTTTTCCCAATTTTATCCATTTAATCTTATTCGGTTATTATCTTCATCCTCATAATTTTACTTATTTTATCTTACAATTCTTCTACAAAATAATTTTAATCACAAAGCAAAATATGAAAAAAATTTACTGTTAAATCGATCTCTTTTGCACAATAAATTCACATGTGGCTTGCAAACTGTAATTATCGACATAACTTTACCTTCCAAACATCATACGTAATATTCTAGCGTAGTTTAATATTTAACTTTGCGGTCTTCTCTATTCGTTAACGGAGCTTCAAGCTAATAGTCTTCAGGCAATTTTTCGTCTAACACTACGCGTTAAAATTCGGAGTGGGGAATGGTATTTATGACGGAATTTAAAAGATGTACTTTCCGGTCATTCGCATATCGAGCTGCAATGCGTACGGTTGAATCCACGTTACACGACTGTACTTACTCTCGCGAGTGAACCAGAATTCGTGGTATGTTAATAACTCACGGAAACGCCATTACGTTTACGCCTTTATGTCCGCGCGCCCGTTCCCGGCCGTGTATATCGGCATTATTCGAATTTTGCGTTGCCGACGAGCTCGACGATCGTATACGCGCAATACTCAAGAGCCTATCGTACATACATGCATAATGGCGATTGCATCGCGCCCGTCCCATGTGTATAATGGAGTGCCAATATTGTGCGGAGTACGGAATTTCACGGGAACGAAAATGTCAGGCATTTGACGCCGGCTCCGGATCCGGTCTTGTTGTTGCAAAATCGGGAGCTTGTGTCGCACCCTCGTCACATTCGCGTTTCGCGCAAGTCGGTCCAGTCGATTTTCGATCGGGTGTTTTTCGGAAGATATATTTGTATTTAAATCGGAAGACCGACCCACATTTGTAAGATATATAATATTTCCCTCCGCTGTCCTCCCCGATATATTTTAAAGTTATTATACCGTGAAATTATAATATACATTTTAAATACCGATAAAGCGCGTTCGAGAACCTCTGTCTTACAATTAGATTAGAAAAGAACATTAATACATTCCCTAAAACCCTTTTCTTAGCTGACAGTATTGGAAAATTCGTAATATACAGGGTGTTCTAAAATTCGCGCATGTGGACTACAAGACGTGATTTTCTATGGTAAAAGAAACAACTTTTTCCCTTTAGCAAAATTACGTGCGACAAATAGTAAGAGAGCAGGTTAAAGTTAACAAATGAGCGCTCTCGTCTGTGTGGCACTCAAGGCCAGCGCGCACTTTTTAGTCACTCGTATCCAGCCCTTGACCTTTTTTTTGTATTGTATTGCCTAAAATATAATAAAAGTTAACAAACCTATTGCTTATATCCTTACGTAATAAATAAATAAAAGAATTATCTGATTCCATGTAGCACCATCTGCACACAAAAAAATAATCATTCTACAGCCAAGAAAAGCACTTACTTATTTTATTTTACTTTTTTAAAGTAAGTTTTCTCTCAATCAAGAATATTTTCTTACTAGTAGTTTTCAAATATCTTGACACAAGTCAAGAACATTGTTTTGAGTAAATGTAATTCTTACAATGATTATATGGTAGATTTGCGGATATACAAGCATACCATTTACTTAATCCGCAAATATATCATAAAACAAAAGTCGTTTTTGTTCGACCCGACTGGCCAAATAATAAATATATTTAAATTTCACAACGTTTCAACCGCATTTTCGGTCCTTCTCAAGTGATTCATCAAGCTGTGCATCCTCAAAAACCGCGTACAAAATATCGATTACGTCGCTGACATCGTGCCCTAACCACATCATGCACACGTAAAGCTAAAAAAGTGAAATAAACTCACGATAGTCAAAAAGATAAAAACGCTCAGAAGTCATAAAATAAAAAGTAAGAATACAATTAAATTAAATAGTAGAGTTAAAAATAGTTAAGTTATAAATAGTTAAGTTCTAAATAATGTACAAAGTAAAAAGTAAGGCTTACATATTATGTGCGTCAAAACGGAAAGTGAGAACGGTAGCGCAGAACGAAGAAACGTCGCAAGCCATAGCTGCGAACACATCAGTAGCGTGACAGACGAAGTCATACTAAATGACTGATACATAACAAATAAATAGATGTGTTCACAGGTGGAAACGAGCAGAACAAAAGTGTAAATTAAGTGACGCCAATCAAACGGTTGTAATTCGCGGGCAGACTTTCTGTGTCCTTTTGAAGATTGATTGCGCTATCACATTTTTTAATAAAAAACATCTCAGAGATTTCACGTTTCTTAAAGTGTCGCTCCTTATATAAAATTTTTAGTTGTTGCCAATTGAAATCGTGGTTATGCGTGAGACGGTGCTTACTAACTACAGAATGATTATCGCTGTTCTTCCTAATATCACAAAAATGTTCTTTAACCCGTGTCTCTAGGTGCCTTTTTGTTTGACCAATATATGCAGCGTTGCAATTAGCACAATCAATCTCATATATCAACTCCGTTTGCTTAAGATTTGGTAGCGTATCCTTCCCTCTTTTTATAATGCAATCCAACCTTTTCGGAATGGTGAGGAGAACCCTGAATTCTGCATCGCGCATTGTACGGCCAACACCGTCACTAAGGTCCTTAATATACGGTATAGTAATAAACTTTCGAGGATCCTGGGCTACATTGTTACTGCTAGATCTATTATTATTATTATTATATATATATCATAAAGTCATTGCAAGAATTACATTTACTCAAAACAATATTCTTGACTTGTGTCAAGATATTTGAAAACTATTAGTAAGAAAATATTTTTGGTTGAAAGAAAACTTACTTAAAAGAAGTAAAATAAAATAAGTAAAGCAAAATAGCTTTTCTTGGCTGTAGAATAATTATTTTTCTGTGTGTGAAAATAAAGAAAAATGTATTAACATAGTAATATGCTTTGTGTACTGAGCGTTTTATTATTTTAAATATTGCACAATTACTTGTAGTTAAATATTATCACTAAACTTAATCAATTGCTTACTAGAACGCTCAGCGCATAAAGCACATTAGACGGTACTACGGAATCAGACAATTCTTTTATTCATTTATTACGTAAGGAATAAAAACAATACTTATTTTGTTAACTTTTATTATATTTTAAGCAATACAATACAGAAAAAAGTCAAGGAAGTCACTATAGATATACGAATGACTGAAGAGCGCGCGTTAGCTTGATAGCCCTGATAGCGCTACATAGCCGAGAGCCCTTAATTATTCGTTAACTTTAACTGTTCTCTTACAAAAACTATTTGTTACATGCAACTTTGCTAAAGGAAAAAGTTGTTCCTTTTAGCGATAGGGAATCACATCTTGTACTCCACATAAGCGAATTTTGGGACACCCTGTATAATCAATTCCGAGCAATTATGTAGGTCTTTTTAAAATAATCCGGTATTTTAAGATCTAAAAGTAAGATTTACGAAAGAAAGTCATTTAATTATTGTAATCTATAATAATCAAGTGTGAGTTTCCCAAAGAGAGAAACTCTAATTTTAACAAATCTTATCGTATATTCAGGCAAACTCACTATAGTACCTATTTAGAAATTTTCAGCTACCGTAAAAAAAAAAGTTTTATGTTAAAACGCTTAATTCTCAGTTACATCTCTCAAAATATTCATGCAAAATGTTGAAAAATATTTCGCTTAAAAGGATCTTAAAGTAATTTTTTTCCTTTTTTTCTTTCTTTAGTAGGAGAAAATTTCTAAATCCTATCAAACGTTCATTAATAGATAGGTTGGGGGATTTTTTCGGCCTCCGCGGTTCAAGTCGCGCGGAGCGCCGACGTGGCGACGGGCACGGATATTGCCCGTCGCGTCGACCGGGTGCGGTATACCTATGCGTTACCTGAGAGCACGCGTGCTGTGTCGGATGCTGCGTGTACGCGGAGTTTGCGGACGCGCACACGCCGGTGCCGGGAACCTTGAGCTGCTCCTTGTAGTCGGGCTGGTACGGCAGCAGCATGCGTATCTTGCCCCAGCGATTGAAGAACAGGGCTATCGCGCCCGCCCAGACTATCAGCACTAACACTACTATGCCCACTTCGACGCCGCGGATCTGCGAACCAAGCAGTCGCGTCCTCTTGATTATCAGCTTCGAGTCAGCTCGTGGGTCAGGATGTAAAAACTAGCAATGCGGATTAAGTATCTTACAAGTAGGTCCGAACTCTACGCTAATCTGTTAGCGTAGTTTCGAACTCTCTGATGTTATTATTTCGAAAAGCAGGAGTATTACTTCCAAGTGGACTCAAACCTTGATCAAACATGTTCGAATCTTTTATGAGTTATACTTTCTTACATTTTGTTTTTACGTTTCTTTGAATCAAAATGTTTGTATAAAGCAATAATTGTTGAAATATCTGTACCTTAGAAGTAAAGAATCGTATCTCCAGTTTTTGTCAAAACAAAGTTAATTTACTTTTCCTAATATACCAGGAGCTTAAATTGTAAAGTGATAAAAAGTTTTATGCCCATTATTACTAGTTCCTAAGATACTAATGTTTAAAAAAAATTTCATTAAAAATTTTCATAGAAATTATAAACTTTAAATCTTGTTTTCTCTAAATTTATAATTATGGAGATATATACAATATTCTTTACTATTTTGAGCTGTAAAAGGAGTGAGGCAGGGATGTCCAATTAGCGCGACATTATTTGACATATATATTTCATAACGAAAACTTTTATCCGCCAGTGATTAAAAACAAATTCAAATTTTTTATTGCTTGACTACCTGGCTAAATTTATACATAGGTGCACAACGTTTCGGCTCACGGTTAAAGCCCTTATCGTGCCGCCTGAAATATATGAACATCGCGATATAACACATAAAAATATAAATTAGAAATTAGTCATAAAAACAGAGAGCATTACCTAATCGTCAAAAAGACTCGTCATAAGTTATATAATCAAGACCTCCTTGCGTTCATGGGAATGTCCCAGCATTGTCACAAAGCACATATATTATTATATATTTCAGACATAGAAGGAAGAGATGAAGAAAAATCCTAGTGGAGTGAAGATCGGAAAGGAAAATATATGGTCGCTAGAATATGCGGATGACATAGTACTTGTTGCAGAAAATGAAGATATAATGAATATAATGATGAAGGTGTTCTACAGGTATATAAAAAGAAAGAAACTAGAGCTAAGTACAGAAAAATAAAAAATAATCGTATTCAAGAAGAGAAGCGGCAAAGAGAGAAAGAGATAATGGTGGTGGGGAGATATGAGAATTGAAGAGACAAAAGAAATTAATTACTTAGGGTATAAAATATGCAGAAACAATAATGACGAGATGCACATAAAAGATAGAATAAGGAAAGGAAAAATTGCGATGGCATGGATATGGAGTTATGGAGAAAGTTTAACGCGGATATAATATGGAGAATGAAATTGTTCGATAGAATTATAAAACCAATAATGTTATATAAAGTAGAGATATGGGGATACAGAGAAAGAAAGGAGGTAAAGGTAGTTCAAGAGAGATACATAAGGTGGATTCTAGGTTTACGAAGATCTACCCCGGGGTATGTGGTGAGAAAAGAAATGAAAAGAGCGAAGATAAGAATTGTAGCGGGAAGCAGAGCGGCAAAATATGAAGAGAAAATGAGAAATGATGCAAGCAAGCAATGATGAAGAAAGCAGAGAAGATATACAAAATTGGTTGACAGAAAGTAAAGAGAGAAGAGAGTACATACAGAGATGCGGCATGAGCGAGGAAGAACTGATAAGGATAGGAGATGAAGGTATTGATTGCATGGTGTCAAGAGACAGAGAAGTAGATCCAGGAGAGAGCGGAAAAAATTGAAAACTCAAAAGCGTGTAAGGATTATAAAGATGTCAAAATAGGATGACTGCTTAGATATATCAAAGATGGGGTCAAAAAAGAGAAGGAAAAGATAAGCCTAATAGCGAGAATGAGGTGTGGAAATGAGACAAAAGGGAATATGTATTGGATGAATGAGGAATGGAGAAAATGTAGACTATGCGGGAAAGAAGACGAAGATATGCGACATGTAAGTACGAGATGTTGCTGAGTGACGATGAAACAGGGTATGGATGGATGAAAGGTTTGAAACAGATAAGATTAGAAATGGAGAAAGAAAAGAGTTCAAATGTAAAAATTCATAATATATGTATTGTTCGAATAGTTTATAAGCAGGATCGTAACAGCAAAATGTAAAAACCGGAAACAGGATTTGACAAATGATAGTTGTGTAAGGTGAAGCATTAATAAATAATACTACAATATTCTTTACTTCTATTCTCTCTACTTACAGATACATTATTTTTTGATAATTATAAATATTAGATTTTATCAATTTGTTAAAATTAAATATAAGAAAAATATAGAATAAAAGTTACTTATACTTAAAATACACATTTATACACTCTTTGATTAAATTTTATTCTTAGAGTTCGAGTACTACTTGTAAAAGATTCTATTCTTTATGATGATATTCTTTATGATAAAAACTACTTATAGGAACATTTTGAATTTAGGTACTTATTTTAAAATTCGAAACTTATAGTTAGTCGGGATCAGTTACTTCACAAGTACAATGATCTATTATTTCTTACTAAATATTATTTAAATCTTAGGAAATAAAACTTGATCATGGAATTTGACTCGGATTAAGTGTATATTAAACTTGATCCTGATTTAATATATGTATATTGAACTCGATCCTACCCCTAATAAAGACGGTAGTCGCGATCACCGCGATGACAATTCTCTCATCGAGAACGAAAGTGAGAATTACTTAGGATTTATTTATTGCGCTCGTTGCGTGTTTATAGTGGAGGTATTCTTTATGACAAAAGAAGGAGTTGACACTTTGTCGACAAGATGCGTAATAAAATTACGCTTTACATGGGCACAACGTTAATTGTTACTTACATTTGTCAATATATAAAATCCCCTTTATGATGATTTCTTCAAACATTTACGAATATGCTTTAAAATACGATACATATAAAAAATACCATGGTTTTTTTTAGAATAGTTTTTATTACGCGTATAGCTGAATTTGCCTACTGCAGGTTAAAGTATCAGCGTAATAAGAAAACCTGGCGAAGTATTAAAAAAGATTCGTTGTTTTGTATGTAGAAAGGTCGCAGCCCCTTTCCGTTTCGATTAGATTTCAGCAAAGTTTCGCGGTCCTATTACAATCCCCTCGTTTCCTGCTCCGCCTTTATTCTTTCCAAGAGATAATCTTGTATCCCATCGCGAAGATCAATTTTCTACTTTTCCCTCCACTTAGTGACACTTCGAACCCGTTGATTTTGCGGAAAGACATACGCTAGGATAACAGATTGGTATAACAGTCTAATTTACGCGCTTTGGGTGCGAAATATCGGTGCAAAATTTATGTAAACCTGAAAATCTCTCTGAATTACACGGAATTTATGCGAGAGAGAGTTTATTATATCGACAACGATATCAGAAGAAATAACAGATAACATATATTCTTCTAGCCAATATCTCCGCTGATATATATAAATAGAAGCATCTGCGACGCGAGTAAGACTTTCTTTCTCAAAAGTTTTGTTCACAAGGTTATACTTTTTCAAGAGATGAAGTATACAGTGAGGATTCGCAGAGATCACAAAAAGAAGCTTAAAGATTGTGAACGTTGATAAAAAGGAATTTTTCAATCTGCGCAATATACTTTGAAAGAGAAATTTATTAGGATATATGTTGAATCGATACTGAAACCTAAGTTATAAGCAAGAAAATATTGCGACCTTTTCAGTACAGTAAACTTTTTTATTTTGTATATCCTTTTCGCATAATTTATTAATAAATATGCAAATCTCTATGTATATACGTTATATACGTGCGTTATGAGCTATTTTATGAAGTTACTTTTATTTTAAATAGTTAATTATTTAAAAACGATTACTGCTTCCACAATGTTATCGACAAAAAATTTTAGAAAATTCCAAATTTTAAAAAAATTTCATCGAAAAATTTAATATTTAACAAAAATGCTTTTCGTGTTAAATCTATTACGACTTTGTTTGTCCTCTTATTAATTAAAAGAAATAAATTTTTTAAATCAACAGATAGAAATGCGCGATAGAAAATGCTCGCCAGAGTCTTCTCGCGCTGCCGCTGCTATGGCACAGAAATATCGATGTTGCAAAATACCGAAAGAGACACCAACTGTGTATTGTCTTTTATTCAGTCATTTTTCTTCCGTTTCTCCATTTCCACGGTTCTCAGTGCACGCAGATGTTTCATCTATGGCATGATAAATTGATTTCTCTTTCATCAAAGCATTTCGTCCTATTCGCTTTCATGTGATATTTAAGGACATTTCCTCGATCTACGAGCTGTAACGTTTCCGCGCAAATTCAGATCAAACAAAATTCTTCTAATTTTGTTACAAATAAAGTAAGGAGATTGCGCACACGTTTATCCAAAGTCGGAACAAAAATCGCGAAAGCGATTTCCAACGCGAGACAACGAACCCCAGAGCGCGAAATTGTGCATCGTTTTGGAGAAAAGTAACTTACTTGTATATACGGTTGAGGCTGCTGCGAGGACGGTGGAGGTGGAGGAAGAGGACCACCAGTTACCGCTGCATCTTGCTGCGGGGACGTGCGTGGTGGCTCTGAAAACGACACGATCTTGTTTACTCGATACGCCAAATTGCGTCACGTAAATCACTGCTGTGAGATTTTATACGGTACTTTGCGCGTCAATGTGGGCGTCGAAAAAATAATGCTCATTAAGCTCTATTTCGTGAGTTAATTTCTGTGCGCTACGTATGATTAAAGAAACGGCTATTAAAGGAGCTTAAACGAGCAAGAAAAATTAGTAAAAATTTTCGGAAAACTAATTTCTCGCAGTTAGAATTTATTTTTTACAATTTTACTATTCCAACGTTCCATGGAATAAAACTGTGATCTCGGATGGATTAACTGAAATCAATTAATTGCTACATATTTTAATTATATACCTATATAATAACAAAAAATAGATAAAAAGTATCTATCGTATTTTTTTTATACTTTGTAAAACTGCAACCCGCACCAAGCTAAGTTAAAATCAATTTTACGAGGTAACCCAAAAGTAAGCTAAATTAAAATTAAATATTCTTAATATATTGAAGCGTCGAGAAATGAGAGAATAATTGTAGTAAATATAGTTTGTGATTTTTATATTTTTAATTTGGATATTTGAAACCTCGAATCTTTAAATATTTAACTCACTATGATATATTTTTAATTAAAGATATATATTTTAAGATATATTTTCACAAGCTATTAAAATATGTTTGTTCGTTTATGAGCAAAGTAAAAAGGATAGAGAGACATTTTCAGGAAGATATATGTATTGCAGAAATGCACGCGAACGAAAATACCGCAAATACCACATTGCGATATGGCTTGCGTCTTTTTGCGAAGATTAATAAGTGACAAAAGAAGAAAATGAGGAGTGACTGTGGAGTAAACGTCATAAGGGATGCTAATGATAACTACACAGAATGCTAGAAAACTATTTTTCCTTTGTCAGAACGCACCTGTCACATGTGACCGTGATGCCGAAGACAGGTAAAGCTTAGGAAGGCAAAGCTTACCGAGTGTACGGAAGACGATCGGTCTGCTTCGAAACTTCTTTCCGGCCCTCACGGCGGTTACGACCAGCTGATATTGCGTGTCAGCTCGAAGGCCGCTCAAGGTGACCGCTTCGCTATTTCCTGCGACCACCGCCACGACCCTGTAACTAACCACTTGCCGTTATGATTCTGTGTTTCATACTTACGGTCGTTTTCGGCTCTCTTTCATGAAGATGTTCCCACTGATCACAAGCGTAAAACCGTTACCTGAGAGATCTCCCTAATTCTGTATCATTATAATTACCATAAGACAATAATTCCCGCATTAGTAAGATACATAAATTAATAAATAAAATTATTACGAATTACATAAGAAGTACTTGAAGTAACTTTTTGTACAATACATCTTTTATAGTATACGCGTACTTTACAAAGGATACTTTTATTATAAAATCAAATTAGTTTAGAAAATATTATACGGTATCAAAGTTGTAAAAATATATATTTATATAAAAATTTCGAAAATCTGGAAAATATTTAAAGACATTTTATACAAATTATGTGTACATGTGGTATTAAAAACTATTTTCCAGTACTAATAAAACATTTATGGATCCACCAAGGCCCTGCAGAAGCGTGCATCTTTGACACTGTGTATTTTGAAAACAAAGCCCACAGAATATTCCCTTTAATTTTTTGTATTTACTTAGAAAACACCATGTATAAATCTTTAATTAAAAAATTGGCAGATATCATCTTTATGAAACACTGAATATAATACGATAAAATTATAATAACTTTGAATAATAGCAGATATTTTCTACTAGTACATTTATACACCGAAATATCTAATTGTAAGTGGTTTACATCTCCGCTAATGTTATTAACAATTAACACATTTTTAAGCATGAGTACATTAAACATATCAATCATAAATAATTGTCAGTATCAGTTGACACATCAATGGTTTCTACAATTTAACGGATTTTTAAAGAATACACTCAACGATTATCGATAACCGCAGTATTAATTTGTTGTCAGTGGTCATCTATAACATGCCACCAATGACCACACATATACATGTTTAATAATCCTTTTGTTCTTACATTATTTAAAAAGAGTAGCATACATTTTTGGATATTTACTAGACACTACAGACGCGCGTTTCGCGTGCGCTATTTAGCTTTAACATTATGCTATTACTATTACACTATTAACCCTTGATACACACAACTGTCAAAATATACAATGACAGCTGCAAATGAAGTAAGCGCAGCAAGAGAACCAATCGGCATCGCGGAAAAGTGACAACAATACCTACGACATGCCCTTTTTAGAAGAGGATGCTTCTCAAACAGGATATTTTTATTGTACAATAAATGATCTAATGGATTTACTTTTTAATTGATAGTTAAATATATTGATTAGCTTTGATAACGTAATTGACGGTATGTCTCTCGATGTAGGGCGCATCACAATGCGTCATTATAATGCGGAATTATGGCGATAATAAAAGAACTCACATCGCGTTAATAAAAAGAATTATGGTAAAATGAAAAGAGAAAGAGCGGGACAATAGGGGAACAAAATTAAACAGAATTCGTTCCATTCATTTCACATTTATAACAGCCACATCAATAAGAAGCATAAAGATAAAGGTATTTTTTGCTTGAAAGCATTTCTTAAGTAAGTATGTATTATATAATAATACAT